CGCCCACCCAGACCCTCCCCTAGTCCTGATGTTGGTGCGCCCGGAGTTCGCACCTTTAGGGGGGGGTACTGTAACACTCTGGCTCTATGGACGTTTAATTTGAGCCAGGGTTGTTCATTTTCTTGTGTTGGGTGTATTTCATTTGGTGGTGTTGGGAATGGGTGAGTCTCATTTTGTTTGTGTATTGTGGTGATTGGTCGATGACTCCCAATCAGAGGTAACGAGTCTCAGCTGTCGGCTCGTTGTCTCTGATTGGGAGCCATATATATTCGGTGTGTTTTTTCCTTTGTGTTGTGGGTTATTGTTTCCGTGTTGCTGTTTGTTGTATTCAGCATTGAACTTCACTTTCGTCTATTTTGGTTTATTGTTTTCTATCGTGGTTTCTTTAATAAATAAAAGTCTACGATGTTCGCTCAACACGCTGCGCTTTGGTCTCATCCTTCAGACGATCGTGACAATAATGATAGGCATAGCACTTGTTGTAATGGGAATGGTATTTTGCTGTATACTACCTCTGTTAAAATAATTTGTTGATCCAAACCACAGTAAAACAAATGATTGTACAGATCATTGTTACTAGTTCAGCCAAAGAAATACACCCAGTTCAGGGAGCTCCAGGACAGTATGTAAATGAATATGGGACATTTTGTAAACATTAAGGGAGGACCAATGGACTGTCCATTTGGGAATTCTGAATGTTTGTATGGAGTTGTTCCTGGGGGTGGATGGGCTTGCCATGATTACAAAGCCCAATAGAAAAATGTGGAGGTTAATTTAGAGGAAAACCTTCCAGACTTGTATCCAATACCTGACTGGGCTCTGGGTTCTCATCAGGATGGGTCAAACAATGAGGAATATATATTGGTTTAAATATATGTATATAAAAAGTTACCACATATGGCAAGGCTAAGAATAAGTAAATGCACAGGCTTACATTCATTTTAAAGTAAATCTTTGTATTATTTGGGACATTGTTGGAATGTCCCAAAGGGGGGATTATATGGTAATATTTTATGTATCATTAAGGCAAATGTTGGGAAATGTCAAAAGTAAAATATAGTAAACATGATTGACATTCTATAATCCAGATGTATGCTCAAATACGGAATATAGCCAATACAGCGTGTAAACATGCATTAATGTATGTATGTGTATTGTTTTTAAGAAAGGGTCTGCCACCAATATAATGAGATTAGGGAAGAGGCCTCATATGGAAAAGCGCCCATGGCATTTGGAGTAAGCCACATGTGACATCTGGACGTTGAAAGATAAGGGTAGAGTGGCACTAAAATAAGTTAATAATTTGCCCTAAGGGAGTAATTGTATGCTATGTAAACATGACTGTGCATTTGTGTGTGTATATAAGAGATCTCTAAGCCAAAGAGAGACAGCCGTTCCATGGAGTGGCTCGGCTTTGTTACGCAACAATAAAGTCTAATTTCTGGATTCACAAGCTCCAGTCTCTTGAGAGATATTGTTGAGTTGACTACTTTTGAGTCAAATATTTCTACGACAATAATAACTACATGAATATATGGTCTATGAAACAATACTCAAAGGAACGTTTTGTAGAAATACTTGGCATTTTGGATTGGTTTCATGTACAAAACTGTGATGATGTTGATCAAGCTTGGTATCTTTTTAAAGATTTGTTTCTGTCTGCACTCGACTCTCTGGCTCCAATTAAACAAATTCGAATCAAACAGCGGTCAGGGAAATGGATTACTTCCGAGATCTTACACCTCATAAGGAAAAAGGATCGCTACCTGGCCAAATTCAGAAGGACACATCTACAACAAGATTATGATGGTTATATTAACTGTAGAATCCAGGCAAGATATGAAATGGATAAGGCCAAATCCCAACATTACACAGACGCTTTTAATGACAACTCGTAAACTGTGGAAAATGTTAAAGGACAGTGGCTCAAAAACTCCCCATAAGGTAAAATTCTGTAGTATTGGCCTGGATATTGATTACGTTTTATGCTATGACCAGGCAAAAGTTGCAAATTATTTTAACATATTTTTTACCACTATAGCCTCATCTCTGGTTAAGAAGTTACTGACCTGCTCTGGACACTATGGCCAGTCTTTCATTAACAACGTTTAACATAGCAAAGGTATCACAAATTATTTGTTTGAGCTGTGCATGGTAACAGAGGACAAAGTTTCCAATCTATTATGCTTAATGAGCACAAACAAAGCAACTGGGCTGGTTAACCTTCCTGCAAGATTCATAAAGGATAGTGCTTGTGTCACTGTTAAAATGATCATGCATATTGTAAACCTTTCTATTAGTAGTGGTACATTTCCCAATGATCTCAAAACAGCCCTGGGTGGTTCCGCTCCACAAGAAGAGCAGTAAAACAAATGTGGGAAACTACAGGCCTGTGTTGATCCTCAGCACCTTATAAAAAGTTGTTGAGAGATTCGTTTTTAATCATCTTGAGGGATACCTTCTCGAGCACAAACTTCTTCATGAACTCCAATCTGGCTTTAGAACAGCTCATTCCACTGATACTTGCCTTATCCACCTTTTTGGCCACATCAAGCAGGAAGTGAGAAGGGGAACTATACAGGTATGGTCATGTTAGACTTGCAGAAAGCTTTTGACACTGTGGATCATGATATTCTCCTGATGAAACTGAAATGTATGGGTCTAAATGATGTAGCAGTGAATTGGTTAGGTCTTATCTGACCAACAGAACACAAGTATGTAATGTTGGTGATGTTCTGTCAGAGGCCAAAGAAATATCCTGTGGAGTACCGCAGGGATCAATTTTAGGGCGCTCTTATTTATTTTATATGTTAATGATATGCCCGATACAGTAAAGTGCAAACTCCTGCTTTATGCTGATGACTCAGCCATACTGGTATCAGGGAAGGATACAGTTTACATAGAGACCCTGAGTAAGGAATTGCATTTTGTTAGAGATTGGTTGACTGACAACACATTGTCGCTACATTTGGAAAAAACTAAATTGATTTTGTTTGGAACAAAACGCAGATTGATTATGGCTGACAAGATAAAGGTAAAATGTACAGGCAAGGAGATTTAATCTAAAACAAGTGTAACTTATCTTGGTGTGTCCATAGATCAATCCCTTACTGGAGACCTGATTGCTGCAACAAAACAAAAAATGAAAATGGCGAACAAATTGACATTTTTATATCGTAACACTAGATATTTTCACATCAAAGTTAAGAAACTGCTTGTCTCAACCTTGATTCAGTGTCATTTTGATTATGCCTGCTCTGCTTAGTATAGTGGGCTATCAAAAAAGCTGACAAAGAGAATGCAGGTCATGCAAAATAACATTATCAGGTATATGCTGAATGTCCCCCCTAGGACCCACATAGGGGTACAGGAGTTCCGGGAGGTGGGCTTGTTGCCTTTGGAGTCCAGAGTGGACCAACTTAAACTTAATCATATGTTTGACATCTTAAATGATCGTGCCCCAGGTTATATGAAAAAAAACACATTGATATGGTCCATAACAAACACAGTTACAATACCAGAGCTAGTGTTATGTCTTGTAAAATCCCAAGAGTAAACAGTACTGCGAAGAGCACATTTTTCTATACAGGCATTTGTCTATGGAATAGCCTCCCCTTGGAGATCAAGCAAAGAAAAAGTAGAAATAGCTTTAAAAAGCAGGCAAAGGTTTTCATTTGGACAAGGTTGTCTAGGTAAGAGAAACCACTCCACTGCCCTTTGTGACCCCTACTGCTGGTCAGGTGTATTTATTTGAATGATAGGTATGATGTGCAATGAATAGACTGTTTTAATGTGAAATAAATATGGTTGATTTTTAAGGTTAGGGAAAAGTGCAGTGAATAGTGCCATTTATTTGGATGTCAATATAAATGAATGTATTTATGGTTGTTTGTAATTTTTTCTTGCCTTTTAATCATTATATGTGTTATTCATTTTACCATCGAGGACCACTTTGGAAACAAGCTTTTAATTAATACTTTCAAGTGATATCCTCTGGGTCCAAATTGTACATTTTGTTGTATATGTCTGTTACCCAAAATACATTCAAGTCAATTCAATTCAAAGACAGGGAGAGAGACAAGGAGAGAGGGGAAGGGCAGAGAGAGAGAGAGAGAGAGAGAGAGAGAGAGAGAGAGAGAGAGAGAGAGAGAGAGAGAGAGAGAGAGAGAGAGAGAGAGAGAGAGAGAGAGAGAGAGGGGGAGGGCAGAGGGATAGAGAGAGAGACACAGAGAGAGAGGGGAACGGCAGAGGGATGGAGATAAATCGATATTAAGAGTTGGGAACCCAAGAGAAAAACAGAGACCATGAGATTGAGAGAAAGCCAGAGTGAGTCAGGGAAATGGAGAAAGAGAAAGTAGGGGAGAGAAACAGAGAGAGATAATTTTTTTTTTAAAGAGAAGGATTACTCATGCACCCAAAAGTGAAAGCAATGGTTGTTACAGAAACACATAACCCATTTACATGATGGTTTGTTTGTTTCAATTGCTATATCAGTTAACCTGGGTGGTGTTTGTAAAAGATTCAACAACATGCAATCACGATCTATCAATCGACCTTGTGAATGCAAGGGATGGCCTTACTGACTGACAGAGAAGCCTATTTTCAATGTTCAGAGAGGGAGTCATGGACTCAGAAGAATGCACTGAGTAGTAGCATTCCGAACATGGGGATCGGCATTGACATGATATAATTACAAAAAAGCAATAAACCTACATCCTGTGAAAGTATTGGTAACTTCACAATCATGACAACCAATAATCCATCAAAGAACAAAAACAGCAGAAGTTCTGACTCCGCTGTCATTACAAAGTTCAGAATTTGCCCTTTTGAATTAGTCTACAACTCTACCCGATGTAAAAATAAAAAAATAAAAAAATAACTATTCATTAAAATAGAATAAATACCAAACTAGCTTGCAACCGGTTTGCCCAGCCTCATAGAAAACCAATCATACGTCACAGAGGAATAAACACTTTCCGCGAATATTTCGTTCTGAAAGATTAGCGCGCCTTCAGCACCTTGGACAGCAACACTCGCTCTATTAAGCCAGACACAGAGCAAAACAAAGCCAATGTGACAACTCTCGAGTGGAGGGCTGATTTCTGGAAAAGAGGCACTTCGAAAACCATAATCTTGACTGCATGAAATACAAATGAACAATACAGATTCAATTTAATCGAAAAATAGGCCCGTTTATGTATATAATGTAGATCTTACCTGCTCTTTATTAGGAAGCGTTTGTGTTCTGTTTAACGTGTCATTTCCATTAATACTGATCAATTCTGCATCTGCAGGTGGATATGGCGCAGGGAAAACCACCACGTCACTCTTCAGTGTGTCTGAGCTGAAACACACGTCATACTGCTGAGTAGATTTAGAGTAAGACCAGCTCCCGTCAGGGTGTGTGGTGATCATTGGGGCGCTGTACCTTCTGAAACTGTCGTCTGTCCCGTGGCATTTTACAGCTATTAAACTGATGAGGCTCAGTAAAAATATCACTGACACCGAGGCAATGGCGATCAGCAAATACAGGTTTAAATCAGAGAACTTCTCCTCCTTTCTCGGCACAGCTCTGAATTGAGTCTGGATTTCACCTGTACTTTCAACCACTACTACATCAATAGACACAGTCGCTGACAGTGAGGGTTCTCCGTTATCAGAAACCAACACGACCAACGGGTGAGTTTTCAGGTCATTGTCACTCATTCGCCTCTTAGTCCTTAGTTCCCCAGTGCTGGTTCCAATTCGGAAGAGGTTGGTTCCCTTGGGCTCAGAGATGTGATAAGAAAGCAGCGCATTGTAGCCAGAGTCGGCATCTACAGCCCTGATCTTGGCCACAAAGTAACCCGCTTCAGCAGAATAGGGAATGTTCTCAGTGTTAACGGAGCCGTGTTCAGAATAGGGCGCGAGAATCCCAGGACTGTTGTCATTCTCATCCAGGATAAAAACGTTCACAGTCACGTTGCTGCTGAGAGGAGGAACACCAGAGTCTGTGGCCTGAACTTTAAAATGGAACATTTTTATCGCCTCATAGTTAAAAGACTGCAGACTAACTACATCTCCAGTATCCGAGTTTATATTTACAGATGATGATATTGAAATAGTTTTATCTAATAATGTATACGTCATCTTTGCATTTTCATCTGAATCTGGATCAAAAGCAGACATCGTATAAATTACGTCTCCTACTGGGCTGTTCTCTTTCACATAAACATTAATCACGGGTTCTGAGAAGCGAGGAGCGTTGTCATTCACATCAGAAACGTGTACAGTAATAACGCTGGTGCTGGAGAGAGGCGGGGTCCCTTCATCCGTAGCTGTGATGGTAACATTATACTGAGAAGCGCTCTCTCTGTCCAGAGGCCCATCAACCACTAAAGAATAATGATTCTTGTATGAGTTCTTTATCGTGAATGGCACAGAGCCTAGTATTTTAACCTGAACAGCGCCATTTTTGCCTGCGTCATTGTCTTTCACTGTTATCAGGCCAACCATTGTCCCTAGTGACGCATCCTCTTTCACAATGTTAACTAAAGACGTTACAGATATCTCTGGTGGATTGTCATTCACGTCTGTAATTTCGACTAACACTTTACAGTGAGATGCTCTGGGATTTGGGCCTCTGTCTTTTGCTTGCACACGGATTTCAACAGCACTTTTTTTTTCGTGATCCAATTCGCCTTTTACTGTTATCTCCCCACTGGCCGAATTTATAGCAAATATATCAACGTTATTATAATTATCGTGGTTAATAAATGAGTATACTATTTCTCCGTTAAGGCCCTCATCTGAATCGTTCGCTTTGACTGTGATTACAGATGCACCATGCGGAGTATTCTCAGGTATTCGAGCTTTGTATAGCGGTTTGCTAAATACGGGAATATTATCGTTAACATCTTGCACATTAACAATGATCAGCATATTCCCAGACCTAGGAGGTTTTCCTCCATCTATAGCGGTCAGTTTGAGCTGGATAACGGGCTGTTTCTCTCGGTCTAAAGCTTTCTGCAGCACTAACTCAGCAGACACGCTCTGCTCTCCACCGCTCTGTACATCCAGGGAGAAGTGTTCATTCGGGCTCAGCTTGTAGCCGTTTACCGAGTTAGCTCCTATGTCTGCGTCGTAGGCGCTTGGAAGTGTAAATCTTTCACCTGGAAATGCTAACTCTGATACATTCAAATATGTTTTAAGCGACCGAAATGAAGGTGAGTTGTCATTTATATCCAAAACATTAACCTCAAATCTGTATAGATTCAATGGCGAATTCACAATGGCTTCTAGCTCTAACAAACACTTCGTGTTCCGAGCACAGAGCTCGTCTCTGTCTATTCTCTCCCTCACGGACAGAATTCCAGTCTTTGTATTTACATCGAAATACCTCTTGTTGGGTCCGGAAATCTCAAACCCACGATATTCAAGTTCCTGCACGTCAAGGTGCAAATCCTTCGCTAAATGTCCAACAACAGTGCCCGGGTTAGATTCCTCCGATATGGAATACACAATCTGTGCTGACGCGATACTCCAAAGATGACATAACGGGAGGAGATAGTACATCCACAAACGAAAAATAACCACTTTGTGAGTCATTGTGTCGGTATTCAGTTAAAGAAACCTACTGCTAAAAAAAGAGGCTATCACCCGCATAGCTGCGTAATCCAAAACAGAATCAGACCAGAGCCACGATGTTATGCTGCTCACGCGAACAAAGCCTTTTTTCTCGACACCGACCACTGCTCCTGTATAGGGCGGAGCCTCGTACAGCCAGTGAGGATTTACACTGTGTGTGCGGATAGTGACACCATGTGGATATCTACAGAGAAAACGATGGCCTATCACATATGTCTGTGGAGGTGGAGACCAATCACAGTAATCTTCCCCCAAAAAAGTTAGTGACCACAGATGACCATATGATGACCTTGGTGTGTTCTGATGGACATGATTAGGGAATGTACTAAACGTAAACAATGTTCACAGGCCTACACTGTAAAGGCCATGGTGTATTTCAGCACCATGGACAGCAAGGCCGGTATCTTTTTCACCGCATGCAAATAGTACACCGATTTTACAACAATTGAAAGCTTTGAAATATCCAGTATTTCAGCGATCACTAAAATGAGTAAAAAAAGTAAATAACAATGTCATGATGACCTATAGAATAAATATAATACAGTCAAATTAGTACGCATGTCTAAAGAACGGCACAATTTTCGGTCACTGAACTGTAATTCTTACCTTCTGTTTGTTGGGTAATGTTTGATTCCTGTTAAACGTGTCATTTCCGTTAATACTGATCAGTTCTGCATCTGCAGGTGGATACGGAGCAGGGAAAACCACTACGTCACTCTTCAGTGTGTCTGAGCTGAAACACACGTCATACTGCTCAGTAGATTTAGAGTAAGACCAGCTCCCGTCAGGGTGTGTGGTGATCATTGGGGCGCTGTACCTTCTGAAACTGTCGTCTGTCCTGTGGCATTTTACAGCTATTAAACTGATGAGGCTCAGTAAAAATATCACTGACACCGAGGCAATGGCGATCAGCAAATACAGGTTTAAATCAGAGAAGCTCTCATCCTTTCTCGGCACAGTTCTGAATTGAGTCTGGATTTCACCTGTACTTTCAACCACCACTACATCAATAGGCACAGTCGCTGACAGTGAGGGTTCTCCGTTATCAGAAACCAACACGACCAACGGGTGAGTTTTCAGGTCATTGTCACTCATTCGCCTCTTAGTCCTTAGTTCCCCGGTGCTGGTTCCAATTCGGAAGAGGTTGGTTCCCTTGGGCTCAGAGATGTGATAAGAAAGCAGCGCATTGTAGCCAGAGTCGGCATCTACAGCCCTGATCTTGGCCACAAAGTAGCCCGCTTCAGCAGAATAGGGAATGTTCTCAGTGTTAACGGAGCCGTGTTCAGAATAGGGCGCGAGAATCCCAGGACTGTTGTCATTCTCATCCAGGATAAAAACGTTCACAGTCACGTTGCTGTTGAGAGGAGGAACACCAGAGTCTGTGGCCTGAACTATAAAATGGAACGTTTTGATCTCCTCATAGTTAAAAGACTGCAGGCTGACTATATCTCCAGTATCAGAGTTTATATTTACAGATGATGATATTGAAACACTTTTATCTAATAATGTATACGTCATCTTTGAGTTTTCTTCTGAATCTGGATCAAAAGCAGAAATCGTGTAAATGACGTCTCCTACTGGGCTGTTCTCTTTCACATAAACATTAATCACGGGTTCTGAGAAGCGAGGAGCGTTATCATTCACATCAGAAACGTGTACAGTAATAACGCTGGTGCTGGAGAGAGGCGGGGTCCCTTCATCCGTAGCTGTGATTGTGACATTATACTGAGAAGCACTCTCTCTGTCCAGAGGCCCATCAACCACTAACGTATAATAGTTTTTATAGTTTGACTTTAGTTTAAAAGGAACAGACCCAACAATCTTACAGTTGGTAAGTCCGTTTTTACCTCCATCTTTATCAGTTACTGTCACCAAGGCGACCACTGTCCCTATCTCAGCATCCTCTTTGACTGGGCTCATAAGTGATGTAACTGATATTTCAGGGGCATTGTCATTGACATCAATAACTTCTACTAACACTTTAGAATAACCACTGCGAGGCGAGGAGCCTTGGTCCGTCGCCTGAACTCTAATTTCGTATGCAGCATTTTCTTCATGATTCAATTTCCGTTTTATAGTTATTTCACCACTTTGTGAATTTATTGAGAAATCATCGGCAGAATTCACATTTCCACGTTTCATGAAGCTATATGCAATGTCAGCATGTGTACCTTCGTCTAAATCCGTAGCCTCCAGCTTCAATATTTGTGTCCCTAAAGATACATTTTCATTAACACGTACCTTGTAAAGTGGCTTGCTAAATGTTGGCGTATTATCATTGACATCAATTACGTGAACAATGATCTGTAACGTTCCGGATCTTGGAGGTTTTCCTCCATCTATAGCGGTCAGTGTGAGCTGGATAACGGGCTGTTTCTCTCGGTCTAAAGCTTTCTGCAGCACTAACTCAGCAGATACACTCTGCTCTCCACCGCTCTGTACATCCAGGGAGAAGTGTTCATTCGGGCTCAGCTTGTAGCTGTTTACCGAGTTACTGCCGGTATCTGCGTCATTCGCTATCGGTAGTGGATATCTCTCTCCAGATGAGGAAGACTCTGATATGTTAAATATATGAAAGCTTTCTAGAAATGACGGTGCATTATCATTGATGTCTAATATATTTATTTCAATACGGTGAATAAGCATAGGATGGCTCAATATGGCCTCTATATTTAAGGAACATTGCACCGTATTCGGACAAAGCTGCTCTCTATCTATCCTCTCGTTAACGTACAGAATTCCTGTTTTCAAATTAGCTTCTAAAAATCTCTTATGCTGACCCGATACAATCCTCAGACCCCTCGACTCCAGTTCCTGAACATTAAGGTTTAAATCCTTAGCGAGATTCCCCACAAACGTGCCTTTGTCCACCTCCTCTGAAACGGAGTAAGAGATCTGCGCTGCAGACCAGTCAAATAAACAAAGCAACGCTACGCACTGAATCCACACGCTTTCTCTTTGTCTTCGACGATCCATCACTGCTTGAGCAAAACAACTGAATCCAAGTAATGGTCTTGTAACCATTAAAACTCTCGAATATTCCGTTATATGTCAGAGATCCTTTACAGCCCAGCCCTCTCCGTCTCACCACCATTCGAGTGCTTCTCTTCACTATGCGCTCGGGACTAGACTATTTTTCATTCAGAGAGGAGGAGTTATAGAATCTCGGTAACTTCTCTCCCATTTATGGTCTATAGCGACACCGTGTGTTACTTTTATACATATATTACTCATAACATTACAATGTATATTATTTTACTGGTTTTTACAATACTGAGACAACCTGAAGCAGACAACCTCATGTTGATCATTCACTCACAGAAAGGCCTATATATGTAAAACTCCAACTGTTCTCTTAAATGGAAAACACATGGAATGCATAGGAAACGTTAATCAACCTCATATAATGAAATAAGTGTAATCTTCGGATAACAATGTGAGATGCTATAAGAATCAACGAGTAAAACAAACACGAGACGTTGATCACACCAGCGACAAGCCGGCCTATCAATCTAAAATGAACACTCATCAGCAGAGAGCGAGAACGGTTTCAGCACCATGGACAGCACTTAGTAAGCGTTCGCGCTTTCTGAACAAACCTTTTGACACGGTTGAAATTGATAAAGCTACAGTATGCACCTATAGGCTTATAATGTCAATGACAATTGTGTAGTCTATTATTAATCTGAAACATGAGGTATATGTATATTTTCCATAAGTTGTAAACGTCCCTGCCTATTTTCTCACAATAACTAATATACAACTTTTTTGGGATTGTGACACGTTTACATATTCGTGAAGCGCAACACTATTGTACAGCGTCGTGGAAAGTAATGTACACGTCATAGAGCATTGAATGCTTGGCGCGAAGATTGAGCTCTGAATTTTAGCGCCTTTTCAGAACCATGGACAACAACACACGCTCCATCAAGCCAGGAGGCCATATGCACAGGTCAAAACAAAGCCAATGTGTCTTCTCTCGAGTGGGCGGCTGTTTTCCAGGTAAGAGGAATTTAGAAAACAATATTATTTGACTGCAAGGAGTTCAAAGGATAAATACAGATGTAATTCTATAGAAAAATAATCCATAGATCTTACCTTCTCTTTGTTGGGTAATGTTTGAGTCCTGTTAAAGGTGTCATTTCCATTAATACTGATCAGTTCTGCATCTGCAGGTGGATATGGAGCAGGGACAACCATTACGTCACTCTTCAGTGTGTCTGAACTGAAACACACGTCATACTGCTGAGTAGATTTAGAGTAAGACCAGCTCCCGTCAGGGTGTGTGGTGATCATTGGGGCGCTGTACCTTCTGAAACTGTCGTCTGTCCTGTGGCATTTTACAGCTATTAAACTGATGAGGCTCAGTAAAAATATCACTGACACCGAGGCAATGGCGATCAGCAAATACAGGTTTAAATCAGAGAAGTTATCCTCCTTTTCTCGGCACATTTCTGAATTGAGTCTGGATTTCACCTGTACTTTCAAGCACTACTACGTCAATAGACACAGTCGCTGACAGTGAGGGTTCTCCGTTATCAGAAACCAACACAACCAACGGGTGAGTTTTCAGGTCATTGTCACTCATTCGCCTCTTAGTCCTTAGTTCCCCAGTGCTGGTTCCGATTCGGAAGAGGCTGGTTCCCTTGGGCTCAGAGATGTGATAAGAAAGCAGCGCATTGTAGCCAGAGTCGGCATCTACAGCCCTGATCTTGGCCACAAAGTAGCCCGCTTCAGCAGAATAGGGAATGTTCTCAGTGTTAACTGAGCCGTGTTCAGAATAGGGCGCGAGAATCCCAGGACTGTTGTCATTCTCATCCAGGATAAAAACGTTCACAGTCACGTTGCTGCTGAGAGGAGGAACACCAGAGTCTGTGACCTGAACTTTAAACTGGAAAGTTTTTATCTCCTCATAGTTAAAAGACTGCAGGCTGACTATATCGCCTGCATCCGAGTATATATTTACAGCCGATGATATTGAAGCACTTGTATCTAATAAGGAATACTTCATCTTTGCATTTTCATCTGAATCTGGATCAAAAGCAGACATCGTATGAATGACGTCTCCTACCGGACTGTTCTCCTTCAGATAAATATCAATCACGGGTTCTGAGAAGCGAGGAGCGTTGTCATTGACATCAGAAACGTGTACAGTAATAACGCTGGTGCTGGAGAGAGGCGGGGTCCCTTCATCCGTAGCTGTGATTGTGACATTATACTGAGAAGCACTCTCTCTGTCCAGAGGCCCGTTGACAACTAACGAATAATCGTTCTTGTAGTTTGACTTTAGTTTAAAAGGAACAGACCCAACAATCTTACAGTTGGTAAGTCCGTTTTTACCTCCGTCTTTATCAGTTACTGTCACCAAGGCGACCACTGTCCCTATCTCAGCATCCTCTTTGACCGGGCTCATGAGTGACGTCACGGATACCTCAGGAACATTATCATTTACATCAATAACTTCAACTAACACTTTAGAATAACCACTGCGAGGTGAATGACCTTGGTCCGTAGCTTTCACACGTAGCTCATATGCTGCCTTTTGTTCATGATCCAATTTAGATTTTACAGTAATTTCGCCACTTTGTTCATCTATAGAAAAAACATCGGCAGAGTTAACACTACCTCGTTTGCTAAATGAATAAACAAGTTCACTATTCACACCCTGGTCTAAATCTGTAGCATCCAGCTTTAATATTTGTGTCCCTAAAGATACATTTTCATTAACACGGACCTTGTAAAGTGGTTTAGCAAATGTTGGCGTATTATCATTGACATCTATTACGTTGACAATGATCTGTGAAGTTCCGGATCTAGGAGGTTTTCCTCCATCTATAGCGGTCAGTGTGAGCTGGATAACGGGCTGTTTCTCTCTGTCTAAAGCTTTCTGCAGCACTAACTCAGCAGACACACTCTGCTCTCCACCGATCTGTACATCCAGGGAGAAGTGTTCATTCGGACTCAGCTTGTAGCTGTTTATGGAGTTACTGCCCGTATCTGCGTCATTCGCTATCGGTAATGGATATCTATCTCCAGGTGAAGATGATTCCGAAATGTTAAACGTTTGATATTGTTCAAGGAAGGTCGGTGCATTG